TCCTTCTTGGTCAACATCCCATCTTGAAGTCCTCTTTCTCTGAAGTCCCAATCTATTGAACCTGGGCTGCTGCTTTTGTTCAGAAAAGTTGGTAGCTCACCTGTGGGCGTTGCCCCTTAACACTTGTGTTAAGTCCTATGCCAGGTGTATCTCACTTTTTTAACTCTAGATGGCAGCACAGCACCATAAATGCCATCAACATTCAGTCAGGTGCCAACGAGGCTGACTAATCTTGACCAGCCTAGGCATGCTGTTTACACAATGTTTCCCCATAACAATATCCCATTGTAAGCTAGATATGAATAATAGAGGGCAACTATACCATTGTCAGAAAACAAGTTTGGTCTGTTTACACATGCTTACCTTAACAATATCTGAGCAGACCAACTGTCTCGTTGCAAACCTGAGGTTTGCAAATTTCCTGAGGTACCTCTGTGTGTCTGAAAAAAATATGCTTATATAATCATGTTGGGTCAGTGGTGTGACCCTGGATCCCCTGCCAGTTTGTTTACAAACAGAAGGCAGAAGCGAATCTGTCATTTAGTAGCAGTAGCACCATCGCTAATAAAATACATTTTCCCCACTAAATGGTATTTCCCCCAAAAATATTTTTGCATTGATACGTCTCCCATGGATGTGCCTAGTTACCCATGCACATTTTAACAATAGCTTGAATATTAGCCTTCAAAAAGCCCCAAAATGGCTAGATTTGGCACCACAGACTTCCATAGGATTTGGCAATATATTTGGAGTGCGTGTACTTGCTGCTGAGTTTGCTAAATCTCCTGTGAGCCAAACTTTGCTTGGTTCATTCATCCCTAGTGTTAATAGTATGCTGGAGTCAGCAGGAAAAGTTCAAAGTGCAGTATTTGTTCCTTTTGCTTTTTTTTCCCTGTAGTTGTTTTAAAAGTGCTATATTCATGCATTGCTTTTTATAGCTATGATTCTACAATAATATACCTTTTTCCTGTTTTTGGTTGACCCATTTTAGTAAAACATTAGTTTCATCACAGTGGAAGCCTGTACAAGAATAAAACCATTTTATAAATGCCCCATTAAGTGCACACATCTGTCTTGTTTGTTGAAGCAGTTTGATTTTTAAACCATAAGAGCATTAAGTGATCCTCTCTGTTATATGTTGCTCTCACTAGAGAAATGAGCTCTGAATAGGTTTTGTAATAGTATTGTCAGTGTGCAAAATATGTTTCAAGAACACCAATAACTGCTCAAGTGTATACACACATACAGCTGCTTCCGAAAAAAAGTGATTCATCTATACATTCATGCAATTAATGTAATGAGATTAAGCCTATCTCTGACATGAAATCAAGTCTGTTATCTCATACATATGTGACTGTAGTGCATAACTCCCAAATTGTTACTTTGGGGCAAAATCCTGATTTTCAAGCAGTGCATAGCTAGACTGGATGAGCTTATACAGTATGTCTCTTGATTCTAAGTTGTAGATAGGCATGGCTTTAAAACCACTTAGTTATAACCATCACATACTATAAAGTACATATTAGCTGAACCTTTAACAGGAAAGAAAGGAGAGGTCAAGGGAGAGATCATGTAAATAGAAAAGTCTTGATTCTTAGGAGAACACAGGCATACATGATCATACCTGGACTTGCATATTATGCAAATTACTGATAAATCTATTCAGAAAATTAAAAAAAAGACTAGTATACAGGTTGTTTCAACTCTGACTGTTTAGGGTTTTGCAAAATCAGTCACCTCCACCTACAGGATTAGTGTACAAACTATATGGATACAATAAACAGGGTCAATTTGTCCATGGATTCTACTATACGTTCACGCAATCAAGAAAAAAAGTTTTATATTTAAATTTTTGGTCCTAGTAAAGGCTGTGAACCAACAAAATTTGGTACAGTTATTTAATTGTACTTAGTAATTGTACTCATTTATCTAGAGGTCAAACTTGATTATCAGAATGGTTATAGTCCTGGAGAGTCCCAGATTGATAATAAATCCCTCATATCTGAAGGCTTTCAGGGCATGTTTACACTCTTAAAATGTATCTGTGCAACCACATTTTTAAAATAATTCTAACTGCATAATGCAAGGCATGGGAGTTACGTGTAAATAACTTTTTTGGACACACAATCTTGGATTTAGTAAAAAAAAAAGATTGTAGCTGTGACCTATTACTTCTCTTTAAGCCATTGCTTTAGTTTGAACAATCCTTTCCCAGTCAAAAAATGATGTACTACTGACACGAGTATATTAATCATTTAAAGTGTAAACCAAAATGCAAGTGCAGCCAAATTGGCATAACACTTATTTTATATTTGTTACATTCACAATTTTTTTAAAAAAAGAATGCTTACCATTTCTTGGTACTTGAATGCATTTGTAAGATTTCACTCCTGAGTTTAGTGTCACAGTAAGTAATTACAAAGTTATCCCTAAATCAATGGACCCACAGCAGAAAAGGTCCAAATTGTCCTCGTCTAAAATAATATATAGGTGTGAGAGCAGAGGGGATTAAATGCAATCAATCTGGTGATTCCATCCACATGATGTGCTTTCTTATGAAAGAGGGTTAAAAAAAATAAAAGTATATTTAGTAATCATATTGATAGATCTGTAGATGTGAATATCAAACATAGAGCACCCCCACTGCTTACCAATATTCATTAATGCTACAAATACTTGTTTCAGGTAAGTGATAAAGAAAGTGCTGAAGTCAAAGACAGTCAGGCAACAAGATGTCTGTAAAGACAGTTTAAAAATGCTAGTACCTTTAAACACATTTTTAGCAATAACAAATTGCTTTAAAGTGTTTCTAAAACCAAAACCAAAAACGTTTAATACAGGTGAAACTCAAATAATTAGAATACCGTGCAAAGTTCATTTATTTCACTAATGCAACTTAAAAGGTGAAACTAATATATGAGATAGACTCATTACATGCAAAGCAAGATAATTCAAGCCGTGATTTGTCATAATTGTGATGATTATGGCTTACAGCTCATGAAAACCCCAAGAACCCCAAATCCACAACCTCAAAAAAGTAGATTATTACATGCAATCAATAAAACAAGGATTGTACATAGAACAATATCGGACCTCTGAAAAGTACAAGCATGCATATGTACTCAGTACTTGGTTTGGGCCCCTTTTGCAGCACTTACTGCAATTACTTTTGCACGATATTCTAATTATTCGAGTTTCACCTGTATATTGCTGCTTACCAGTCCTTAGATGTGGTGACTGCATCATTTTTCTTTTTTAGGCTTTTAATCTATCATTGTTAACTGGTGATCTGACCAGAAACACACCTCCTGTCTCCTGACCTCCACTGTATCTACAGTATAGAGGATCAGCATTGCCAACATTTGCAATCAGCATTGTTAACTAGATATGTAGTTTTCGTTAAGTTCTAAAATGAAATTCAGGGATTTTTTAAAAATTTCCAAATCCAAATCCACATCCAAATTTCTCAATTTAGAATTTGAATTTATAAGAATTTTGTTTGCATCCGAATTGAAATGAATCTGAATGAGGAAAAAAAATGAAATCGTACATGTGACTGTTCTCTGGCCAATCAGATTTTTCATTAAGATGACCAGTATGGACTAAGATAACCAGTATGGACTAAGAAGACCTGTAAGGACTAAAATTACCAGTACAGACTAAGAGGACCACTACGGAATAAGATGACCAGTACAGACTAAAATAAACACTACTGACTAAAATGACCAGTACAGAATAAGAGGACCAGTACAGAATAACATGACCACTGCAGAACTAAAACGACCAACAACCCCTACAAAATAGCATCAAACTAAACCGAAAACGTAATTTTGAGTAGATCCGAATTCCAAATAATAAACTGAAATGAATTTCGGATTCAAAAATCAGAAAAATAAAATTCAACCCATAATTAAATAAATAGTTTGAGCCTCGTATGTCTATTTTTAACCTTCATAGAGGTAAAATGTTAGATGGACTAGTAGATTTAGATGGACTTTATATAAGTAATTAACAAAGTATGGGCTTAACTCCAGCTAACACTTTTTAAGCAGTTAGAGCAAACTTTTTTTTTTTCCTTTTGGGATAAGGGTTTTAGCTATATGGATAGAAGTTGACCATTGTAAGCACCTCTGCTGATGTTGAATAATTTGTCCCAAAATCTGCAACTTTCACTTTTGATGGTCAGTTGGGCCTGTCAAAGAAAGTTGAAAAATAATGGATCTACTGGCAGGATTAACAGTTAATAAAACTTGGGGCACAGATGTCTTATTGCTAGTGACAGACTCTATCATAAATGTCATTTTTTATTTTTTCCATAGTTCCACATTAAAGGGACACTAAGCTCAGGAATTGCATTCAAGTACCTCAACTATTTAAAAAAAAGGTTTGTGTATTACTCAGCTCTGTATACTAAAATCATCTCTGATTTGTGATGTGGTCCTTCCTTCTGGAGGGTGGCTACTTTTGTTCCCCATGGTCCCTGCGTGTGTTGTAAAGTAGCCACTGCTCCAAGCTCAATCCTGTGATAGACTACAATCTCATGATTAGTTTACCAATTTGTATTGAGATTGTAGTCCATCATGGGAGTCAGCTTGGAGTGGTGGCTACTTTACAACACACACAGGGACCATGGGGAAAAAAGTAGGCACCTTCCAGAAGGAAGGACAGTGTCAGCACCAATTTAGAGATGATTTGAGGATCTACAGTCGAGTGATATACAAATAGGGTAAATTTTTGTTAATAGTTAAGGTACTTGAATGCATTTTTACAATTTAACCCCTCAGTTTGGTGTCATTTTAAGTCCATATATAATCATATCCATATGTCCATTCTCTCTTGTTCCATTGCCAGACACTCTAGAGATCATTAGAAAATAGTCAATCACAAAGGCCAAAATGCAGATTACCAGAAAAATAGGATTAGTGCAGACAAGCATAACTGAAGCGTGAAATAATGACTTTCCGGCCTGGAAAATAGGTTATATGAAATAAACATCTTACCGTGGTGGCATACTGAATATCTTTCCAGATGGAAGACTCCCTTGACAAATCTGACACCTCAAACAAATTTTCCAAAATGACTTCCCCTATCATGTCATGCCGGGAAAATCTATCAAAATCAAATACACTGAGGTGAAGTTTTCGACTAGGGAGTTCATCGTATGGAACAGGGAAATTGAATGATTCATCAAATGTTGGGTTAAGAGTCTTTCGATGAACCCGGGTTTGAAATTTTCTCTTTCGGTCAGGGAGCAGGTAAATCTTCACATAGGGATCAGAGCTTCCACAGAAGTCCTTGGCAGGGAGATCAAAAGCTTTTAGAATTTTTACTATGAGAGTTTCATTCTCATAGTCGTACTTGAGGGTAAAGTTGATCTTTCCGCATGTCTTGGTGTCTTCCTTTTTGCCATCTTCTAAATCTACTGATTTCTGTTTGTACAATTCCGGTTTAATCCTTCCAATGCTGGTTGGCTGTTCACTCACTTGTAAGGTGTCAGTACCAAAATCCACACTGCACACTTGCATCTGACGGGGCAAATGCCTCTTGAAAGAGATGTGCCTGGAAGTAACATTGAAATAGGAAAGGTTACTTAGCTTGATGGGCATCTACTTGCACTTGTGTTCTATGTACAACAACTTGGCACTAAATATAATTGTGATGTGTGCTCAATCAGAATTGTAGGGTACAACATGCTCCAACTATGGTTTGCTACCTTGTAGTTATTTATTACACTCATTTTTTTACATTGTCATATACATACATTTCTATAGGACAATGTATCTCCTAGGAGCTCCATGACTATAGAATGCATGAGGCTGAAGGCAGATGTTATCAGTTAAAACAACATCAGTGGGCAGCTTTAAAACAATCAGTGCTATATATTGAAGTATTTGTGTTTTATAGTATTCTAGAATAAAATACCAAAGATGATGAGAGCTTTTGGATTCTGGTTGTTAAACTAGCGTGCCTTGAGAACCATTATCAACCACTTGAAGACCAGGAAGGGAATTTATCAAAACTGGAGCAGACAAAAACAGGAGCAGTTGTGCATAGTAACCAATCAGCTTCAGTTTGTTCAGTTAAGATTTGAAAATGAAAGAGAGAAGCTGATTGGTTGCCATGCACAGCTGCTCCAGTTTTTGCAGTTTTTGTCTGCTACAGTCTTGATAGATCCCCCCCCCCAACCTCCCCCAGGTGTTTACACTCCCGTCCTGGCCAGGCCATTTTTCAGTATTCAGCGCTGCGGTGCATTTACTCCATCATGCAACGCTGTACTGAAATTAATTTTATACCATTTTTTGGGGGATACATAGAGCTTTCTTTTGGTGGTATATAATCACCACTGGGGGTTTTTATTTTTTACTAATATAATGAAAAAAGTACCGTAAATGTTAAAAACCATTTATTCTTACCCATATTTTTGGTAAAACATAAAAGATGGGATCACGTTGGCTAAATAGACACCAAACATGTCAAGCTTTAAAATTGCGTGCACCTGCGAAATCACAATAAAATACTATACCCAAAATTGGCCACAGGCGACGCTTTAAAAGCTTTTACCGCTCATCAATTTAGTGTGATCAGTGAATAATGGCCCTAATATTATTGACCTCACTCTAACATTCGCAGTGATATGCAACATGTGCGGCATAATGGGTGCAATCGTCGTCTTCGCACGTATGCGCACACGACGCATGTTTGTGCGCGTGTATGTGGGGCTGGGACTTTTAAAAAAAACATTTGTGTTTTTTTTTATTCTTTTTTATGTGTGACTTGAATTTTTTGGGGAATTGTAATTTTTTTTTTACTTTTTTTTTCCCACTTAACTTTATTATTATCACAAAAGGGCCAAGCAGCCCCCTATGTGATAGCAAAGAGGATATGACAGGTCCTCTTTATGGAGACATCAGGGGTCTTTAAGACCCCTAATGTCACCTAGGGGCCCCCAAAGAAGCTGATGAAGAAGAGATCTGCTTCACCAGCTTCTCTCGAGGTTCTGTAGCTGGAGAGTGACGTAATATACATCACTTCTGCATTCTGACACCGGAGAGGGGATCGGAGGGAGATTGTGTACGGATCCCCTCTGATCTCCTGTCACAAAGCTGCAGGGCTGGTCCCAACCAGCGCTGCGGGGGACGCACCGATCATACATACAAGCGATCTGTCGGCTCTATAGCCGGCGGATCACTTGTATTCAAACAGACATTGCTGCCTGTTTTTAAATTTTGACAGTTTCCCGCTCGCGTGCGCCGTGCAGCGCGCACATGTGGACGGGGCTAGACGGCCTGTTACATCCAGGAAGCTCCTGGCCGGCCGTTTAATTACAAGGGCCAGCCGGGAAGCCGTAAAGTGTATGTAAACCCCAACAATAAACTTTTCTTATTCGTTCCTATTTGGCCTGATAAATAAACCATGGAAAGCATTTTGGTATATATGTTTGATAAGTTCAAAAAATATGTATGGATCCTTCCAGAAATCTTGTAAATTGATACTTTCTTGTTCTCTCTACTTGTGCTGACTGTTATCAAATACATTGTCCTCCAAAGTCTACAGAACCACACCCCTCTATGTTATGGACTGTAGGAGATGGATGGGGTTCAAGAGCTCTATCTTGTTTCTGTCATCTTGATACAGAATGGTGGGTGAGTGAGTGTAGGGATATTATAACACCTGAGCTGTCTTTATATTGAGCCCCCTTACTTTTTATGTAAACAAATGAGTAATCAACAAGGAGGTGTTTATAATAATTACAATAGCACCATATAGGACACAATCATCTAACACCACATCTCAGATTTTTAAACAGAAGGCATACAGTTTGACTACATAGTACATACTAGGCGTTATGTAGCGATTTTTAAGGTGTAACAAGTACCATATACCAGTGGTTCTCAACTCATGGGTCGCGACCCAAAAGTGGGTCGCGAGCCCTTCTGCAGTGGGTCGCGGCGCCATCACGGCAATCACGGGTCGCCATCACGGCAGCATCACGGGTTGCGGCGCAATCACGGCAGGCTTGTATTAATGGATAGAAAGCCTGCCGTGATTGGCTCAGCGCTGAGCCAATTACGGCAGGCTTTCTATTCATTCATACAGGCTTTGTATTAATGAATTGGCTCAGCACTGATTGGCTCAGCACTGAGTCAATCACGGCAGGCCTGTATTAATGAATAGAAAGCCTGCCGTGAGTGACTCAGCAGAAGACGGAGGACACAGCGGGGATCGTAGACAAGGTAAGAGACTGTATTCCCGATTGTGGCTCGGGGTTACTGCTTATGTTACTGAAAATTAACCCCGAGCCACACTCGGGAATACCGCCATGGATGTTAGTGGGTGCATTTAAACATTATTTTGGGCTATACTCGTCTTATATGACGAGTATAGCCCAAAACCTATATTTTTTACACAAAAAGTGGGGGGTCGTCTTATACGCCGTCAAATACGGTAATAACTAATAGTAATTTCTGTCCCGGCTGCAGTATTAATCTACCCCAAGGATAATTTATTATTGCTGCGGGTAAGGGGGTGATTATTATTGCTGCATGGGGGTTTTTTTTTTAAATTAACTCCTGCCTAAAAACAATTCTCCCCCAGGCAGCGATAATAATTGCCCCCCTTCCCCGCAGCAATAATAAATTATTATTGCTGCGGGGAAGACTAGGTTTCTAGTTACGCCTCTGCTGTGTAGTGCTGACTTTTCTACTTGCAACAGAGTCCCTGCTAATGCCCCCTACATACCCCCCCTTCTGCAATGACAGGAGACATTATGACAGGGGACGCTGATGAACATTATGTATTCCAAGCCCACACAATGCCCACCAGTGTCCCCTGTCATATTGTCTCCCGTCCCGTCCGAAGCTGGGGGGGGGAGAGGTCTGTTGGAGGGGTCTTTAGAAGGGCTGTGCTGCAAGTTTTCTACTTGCAGCGCAGCCCTGCTAATGCCTCCCCAGCTTCTGCACTGACAGGAGACATTGTGACAGGGGACACTGATTGACATTTTACACCACCACGGTTTTTGAGGTCCCCTGCTCTTTTGGGGGACCTGAGAACATGGCAATATGGATGGAGCTCTGTCACAGCACTGCAGCCCCCACTGGACCTCAGGCTGAGGATCCACCACAGTTCTCGATATGATAGGGAGACTGTGTGGATCTTAAAAAAAGGAAATCAAATGTATTTTATTGTGAAGTGTGTATGTGAGTGTGAGAGATTGTGTCTGTGGTTGTGTGTGTCTGACAGTATTTTTGAGGGTCCGTTCACACTAGTACAGAGCGTTAATTGCACAGTCCATTGCGATTACTGCATTTTACCACGCAAAAATCGCACCAACCCAAATTCTGGTGTGGGAGTTGTGTTGCATTGCCATTCATTTGAACGGCACCCCAAACGCATCTCCTGTACACAGTTTGATTGCCCGCATCGGAACGTGCGGTACCTCAATGCCGTGCGTTCCAATGCGGTGCGACTTGGGTCGCGACTTCATGACCAAGGACAAATGTGGGTCCTGAGGTTACACAGGTTGAGAACCACTGCCATATACAACGATCTATTAAAATGTATACATTTTTATTATTAGCAATCTAAAAAGTCAGTCATAAAATCAGCATGAAGAAAAGTAACCCAGCTTAGTATACTTCTACCAACATCAGATCATCCCTGTATCTATACAGAGTTTTGAGGTATATATTACACTTTGTCCAGTACTATAAATATAGGTATCCAGGCTGAGAGCTAGACATGGTACTGTATCACAGTCGAAGACATTTAGTAGTGGTAGTGATGCATTTCACAGAATTAAATCTGCTTCATCAAACTTTACTGTATTTGGTGATACATATATGCATCCAGGGGCAGGCCATACCTCATCTGCACCCACCGTCGTCCACCAGGCATTAAAGATCATCTGAACTGGGGACAATAGGGGAATTACCGTAGCCAAGCCAAGTGATGGGGGATCAGCAAACACACTGGTCAGAGCTGGGGCTATAGATCGTTGTATATGGTACTTGTTAAACCTTAAAAATCCCCACATTACAGCAACAATGAGATCTTATTATCTAGTGACAAGAGCCCAAACCTCAAGTGTGTTTCCTACTAACTGTGTAGCCAAAAAGTGCTATTGATGGTGGAATTCTGTAAGAACAGTCAGACGTTACTGTGTCAGCTGATGACCACATCCATTCCAAAAGCATACGGCACTCCACAATGTTCAAACCAAGACAGCACAATAGTGAAACATCCACAGTGTTCCAGAGTGCCCTGGAAGTGTTAAGGTTCTAATACATCAAGGGTCACTAAGTCCCAATAGTGGCTCTGTCCAGACCGCAATTGCTGACCACACTGGGTTATGGCTGCAGGACAGTGGATACACCAGCCTCAGAGGCCAGTGCATGCACTACCAGTCATATCCCAATGCGGGGCCCCCACCGGCACTCCCTCGCCCCACCTACCTTCACCAGCTGTGCAGAGCAGAGCGGAACCCACATTTGTTAGAGACGCAGCTGGATAGGCCGGCGTTTGTCTGGCCCACTCTCCATCAACCCTGGAGGAGCAGGACT